CTCGGCCGGGACCGAGAGGTGCCCGCGGCTCCGAAGAGCTCGGAGCTTTTTAAAGTTTTTTTTTTTCCTTTTTTAACTTTCAACTTGGCCTTGACCTCGGCTCCAGCCCGACCTTTTCCTGCCGGGAATGCGGCGAGAGCCTCGGCAAACAGCCGGGAGGGGGCCGGGAGGGGGAAAGGGAAAAAGGGGAAAAAGGGAAAAAAAAGGGGGGAAAAAAGGGGAAAAAAGGGAAAAAGGGGAAAAAGGGAAAAAAGGGAAAAAAAGGGAAAAAAGGGGAAAAAGGGGAAAAAGGGGGAAAAAGGGAAAAAATGAGAAAAAGGGGAAAAAAGGGAAAAAAGGGGAAAAAGGGGAAAAAGGGAAAAAAGGGGAAAAAAGGGGAAAAAAGGGAAAAAGGGAAAAAGGGGAAAAAGGGAAAAAAGGGAAAAAAAGGGGGGAAAAGGGGAAAAAAGGGGAAAAAGGGGAAAAGGGAAAAAAGGGAAAAAGGGAAAAAAGGGGAAAAAAGGGGGGGAAAAGGGGAAAAAAGGGGGAAAAAAGGAAAAAAAGGAGAAAAAGGGAAAAAAAGGGAAAAAGGGGGAAAAAGGGGAAAAAGGGGAAAAGGGAAAAAAGGGGAAAAAAAGGGGGAAAATGAGCTTCGGGAGGTTGGAACTGGGCGGATTTTTTAAGGGGGAAAAAGGGAAAAAAGAGGAAAAAAAGGGGGAAAAGGAGCTGCGGGAGGTTGGAACTGGGCGGATTTTTTTGGTTTTTTTTCCTTGTGCAAATTGAATTTTTGATTTTTGCGTGAATTTCTTTTTTTTTCTGCCAGCGCAGAGATCGCGGTTTGGGTTTTTTGGTTTGGTTTGGGGTTTTTTTGTTTTGTTTTGTTTTTTTTTAGGGGTGATTTGGGGGTTGTTTGGGGGGATATTTGGGGTTTTCCCCGTTGCCATCCCCGCTCCCAGCCCCATTTCCAGCGCGTTTCTCTCCCCAAAGCTGCCGCGGCTGCTCCCAAAGAAAAAAAAAAAAACGCAGAAAAGGGAATTTTATGGCGGTTTTGGGGTCAAAAGGCAGAAATCTCCGGGTTCATCCGCACCAGGGAAAAGAGTCGAAGCTGCCTTTGGGGGGTTTAGGCGAAGCTTTTCCTCTGCAGGAATTTTGGGGAGAAAACAGAGGGAAAAGGGGAAAAAAAAAAATTAAAAAATCTGTGTACAGCCAGTTAAAAATGCCGGGGTGGCTTCGAGCGGGGGCTATGAAATAATTCTTTTATTCACCCCAAAATCTCCCAGACCCGCGGGATCCCTCGGCCCGCGTCCGTCTGTGCCTCTGTCTGTCAGTCTGTCTGTCTGTCCGTCCGTCCGTCCCTCCACCTGCCCGGCGCTCCTGGAGCCCCAAAGGGATTTTCTGGTTCCTTTTCCCACCTCCCTTTCCCGAACCCTTTTCCTCTCTGGGTGATCCCAGGGGAGGAATCGGGAGGGGGGGAAAAAAAAATTAAACGGGAATTGCCAGGAATTGGAAGGAATTGGGGTGAAAAAATGGGAGGAACTGGCAAAAATGGGAGGAATTCGCAAAAATGGGAGGAATTGCTAAAAATGGGAGGAACTGGCAAAAATGGGAGGAATTGCTAAAAATGGGAGGAATTGGCAAAAATGGGAGGAATTGGCAAAATGGGAGGAATTGGCAAAAATGGGAGGAATTGGCAAAAATGGGAGGAATTGCTAAAATGGGAGGAATTGCTAAAAATGGGAGGAATTGCCCAAACAAGAGGAATTGCCCGAAACGGGAGGAATTGCCCAAACAAGAGGAATTTCCCGGTTCCCACAATTCCGGTCTCAGGCTGCGGTGGAACCGAGGCAGGTCCCGGCTTTGGGATATTTCAGGTGGAAACGCTCACGGACCGCCAGGGAATGGAATTTTCCTCTTTCTCTCTGATTTTCAGGGCCCGGGGGGCGGAATTGGGATTTTGGAGGGGGAGGAACCCCTGGGGAGGGGCGGGGGGGGAGGGCAGGCCCGGTCCCAGCCCGGCCCGGGTGGGCAGAACCCCCCTGATCCACGTGGGAACAAACCACTAAAAAACCCCTAAAAATTAAAAATTAAAAATTAAAAATTAAAAATTAAAAATTAAAAATTAAAAATTAAAATTGTTAAAATAAAAAAGTGAAACAAGTTATATGGTAATACTGGGGCTTTTTGAAGAAGATCTGTTCTTACATAAGCCTTACATACCCTAAAGAAGGTATGTTCTTACATACTTGACCTCTCTTGTGCCTCTAAATCCAATAAGTACAAGAAGAAAGAGCAAAACTTTTGTTTTACTGCTTCTACAAAATAATGGTCTACGTGAGCATCCTTGTAATGTGGGAGAAATAATCTTTACAACAATAGTTTTATTTCATCTTAGCATTGCATACAAAAGAAGTGTATACCTGGTGTGTTCTTACTCATTAGTTCATGATTTAAATGTATGTTCCATAATGATATCCTTTGGGGATCCAACAGGTCTCAGCTTGTTTCCTTTTCAAAATCCCGTGTGTTCCTTGAGATTCTCTGAATCACTGTTCAGCTTCCTTTGGTACTTGCACATAAACCATGATCCCAGTAGTAAGTTGTGCTCATCACAGTCTCTTCAGAACTTATTCAGCCCCAAGAATTGTGATTAACCAGAACAGGTCGGGTACCTGCCCTGCTGATGCCATTCAGCCACAAGGAGGCTGTGCTTCACATTCTGCAGTCACGCAGGATCTTGTGTCAGCCTTTCCATTTAGTTTGTTACTCATTATCAGTAATTCCTTGTTGTCACAAAGAAATATCTGTGCTTTAGGAGTTTGGCACTATATAGCTTATTTTAATGAGGTTATTAAACCTACCTTGGCTTTATCTGCATCTGGCAATTCCTTTTTCTGCTACATATTATGAAAACACTCTTAGTCAATTTATTATTGATATTAATTTTTAATGTTTGCTGTAATCTGTGCTGGGTAATGTTATGAACTGTTTCTTTAAACCCGGGTTTGGGGGTCTGGGGACGGGGTTAAACCCGGGTTTGGGGGTCTGGGGACGGGGTTAAACCCGGGTTTGGGGGTCTGGGGACGGGTTAAACCCGGGTTTGGGGGTCTGGGGACAGGGTTAAACTGACCCTGTTAGGGATTAGCAAGGTTTGGGGTCAGGGTTAAACCCGGCCGGGTTTGGGGACGGGGTCAAACTGACCCTGTTAGGGATTAGCAGGGTTTGGGGTCAGGGTTAAACCCGGCTGGGTTTAGGGGGTTTGGGATCCGGGTTAAAGTCTGAGATCAGGGTTAAACCGGGCTGGGTTTAGCAGGGTTTGGGGTCAGGGTTAAACCCGGCTGGGTTTGGGGACGGGGTTAAACCCAGCCGGGTTTGGGGTCAGGGTTAAACCCAGCTGGGTTTAGGAGGTTTGGGATCCGGGTTAAAGTCTGAGATCAGGGTTAAACCGGGCTGACGGGGTTAAACCGGGCCGGGTTTGGGGGATTTGGGGCCAGGGTTAAAATTTGGGGTCAGGGTTACACCCGGCAGGGTTTGGGGTCAGGGTTAAACCCGGTTGCTTTTACAGGTTTGGGGTCAAGGTTAAATTTGGGGTCAGGGTTAAACCCGGCTGGGTTTAGGGGGTTTGGGATCCGGGTTAAAGTCTGAGATCAGGGTTAAACCGGGCTGGGTTTAGCAGGGTTTGGGGTCAGGGTTAAAGTTTGGGGTCAGGGTTAAACTGAGCCTGTTAGGGATTAACAGGGTTTGGGGTCAGGGTTAAACCCGGTTGTGTTTACAGGTTTGGGGTCAAGGTTAAATTTGGGGTCAGGGTTAATGGGAGCTGGGTTTAGGGGTTTTGTGGCCAGGGTTAAACCCGGTTGTGTTTACAGGTTTGGGGTCAAGGTTAAATTTGGGGTCAGGGTTAACAGGAGCTGGGTTTAGGGGTTTTGGGGCCAGGGTTAAACACGGCTGGGTTTAGGGGGTTTGGGGCCAGGGTTAAGCCGGACCGGGTTGAGCACAGGTTTGGGGTCAGGGTTAACGGGAGCTGGGCTCAGAGGGGTTTGGGGTCTTGGTTAAACCCAGCTGGGTCAAACTGAGCCAGGATCAGCAGGGTTTTGGGGTCTGGGCTTAAAACCAGCCGGGTTTAGGGGGTTTGGGGTCAGGGTTAAGCCGGACCGGGTTGAGCACAGGTTTGGGGTCAGGGTTAACGGGAGCTGGGCTCAGAGGGGTTTGGGGTCTGGGTTAAACCCAGCTGGGTTTAGAGGGTTTGGGGTCAGGGTTAAAGTTTGGGGTCTGGGCTAAACCCGGCCGGGTTTGGGGTCTGGGTTAAACCCGGCCGGGTTTGGGGTCTGGGTTAAACCAGGCCGGGTTTGGGGTCAGGGTTAAACCAGGCTGGGTTTGGGGTCTGGGTTAAACCAGGCCGGGTTTGGGGTCTGGGTTAAACCCGGCCGGGTTTAGGGGTTTGGGGTCAGGGTCGGGTTTTGGGTAGGGAGGGTTTGGGATGTGCTGGGGGGTTGGGAGCCAAAGCGGGCTGGGGGTCACAAAATAATGCTAATAATTATTATCATCATAATAACGATAATAACAATTCTTGTAGCAATGATAATAATTATTATAGTATTAACAATAGTAATTTAATTTAACTTAATATTATTGAATTTATCACGGCCATCTCTAAGTCCGAGCAGGGAGGCAGAAGGTGATTGATGGGGGTTCAAGTGATCAATTATCAGAATTCAAATGATCATTTATCAGAATTCGAGTGATCAATTATCAGAATTCAGATCATCATTTACCAGAATTCAAAGGATCATTTCTCGGGATTTAAATGATAATTTATCGGGATTTAAATGACCATTTCTCGGGATTTAAATGATCATTTCTCGGGATTTAAATGATAATTTATCGGGATTTAAATGACCATTTCTCGGGATTTAAATGATCATTTCTCGGGATTTAAATGATAATTTATCGGGATTTAAATGACCATTTCTCGGGATTTAAATAACCATTTCTCGGGATTTAATGATAATTTATCGGGATTTAAATGACCATTTCTCGGGATTTAAATGACCATTTCTCGGGATTTAAATGACCATTTCTCGGGATTTCATGACCATTTCTCGGGATTTAATGACCATTTCTCGGGATTTCATGACCATTTCTCGGGTGCAGGTGGCGGCTCTATGGGGCTCAGAAAATGCCGTGGCAGAGCCCGGCCCGTGCCGCTCTCCGGTGCCATTCCCGGGGTTCCCACGGTGACATTTCCGCCTCCCGGGGTGGAAAAGTCAAAAAATGCAGAGCATTGAACCCAAACCTGTGAACAGCGACAGGGAGAACACAGAACTTCAAAAATGTTAAAAATCCAGAGGGAGAACACGGAGCTTCAAAATCTTTCAGTGTCAAGAGGGAGAAGATAGAAATTTAAAAATTCTGTATTTAGAGGGGGAATATGGACCTTTAAAACCTTTTAATAGCAAGAGGAGAATATAGAAATTAAAAATTTCAATACCTAGAGGGAAAATCCCGAGCTTTAAAATCTTTCAAGATCTAGAGGGAGAATATAGAACTTTAAAATCTTTAAACACCAAGAGGGAGATTATAGACTTACAAATTTTTAAATCTTGACAGGAAGAGTACAGAACTTTAAAAACTTCCAATACCAAGAGAAAGAAAATAGAAAATAAATGGTTTTAAATACCGAGAGGGAGGATAGAGACATTCAAAACCTTTTAATACCAAGAGCAGAATACAGAATTATTTTATTTTTAATATTGAGAGGGACAACACAGAGCTGCAAAACCTTTCAATATCAAGAGGGAGAGCACAGAAATTAAATTCCTTTCAGTATTTAGAGGGAGGATTCCGATCTGGAAAAGCAGGAGGGACCAGAAGGGAACAATTTCAAACCTCGGCGGGCTCGGCGAGGGGCGGGAGCGGGGCCGGGAGCGGGGCCGGGAGCGGGGCCGGGAGCGGGGCCGGGAGCGGGGCCGGGAGCGGGGCCGGGAGAGGAGCCGGGAGAGGAGCCGGGAGAGGAGCCGGGAGAGGAGCCGGGAGAGGGGCCGGGAGAGGAGCCGGGAGCGGGGCCGGGAGCGGGGCCGGGAG